AAAAAAAAAAAAAAAAAAAAACACTGCTAATGACTGATGTCAATGCTCCCACCCCCCCAAAAAAAAAAGAAGGGTGAACTAATGATGATGCTGATGATCAGAAACCAGCGATGAGTTAACTGAGTTAACTTTTGACTGTTTTTAGACCGGTTAATAACCTATATACAGTATTTTCCTCAAAATTAGACTAGAAAGTTTCTTGAAATGGAATATTTTCCTCAAAATTAAACTAGAAAGTTTCTTGAAATGGAAGGAGAGGGCAAACGAAAATCGTGATGAAGATATATGGTGATGATGATGATGATGATGATGATGATGTAATATATATATCACCGAACAGATATAATATATATATACACATAGATATATATTATATAGTGTGGTGTCGAAGGAGAAAGAGAAACATCCACGCGGGCTATGACGATATGTGTCTGGGCAGTGGTTGATGCTTAACCACAACCGGTTGTGGTTAGGGTGGTGATTATCACTTACAGTGTAATCAGTTAGGCAGGGGATTCTGCTGTAGACTGTGGAGGGTTCAGCCTCCTGATGAGTAGATAGGTGAAACTCCGACGAAACTGTTTGTCACAGCCCCTCCCTCGTTTCTTGTTCTCCTCTCTCTCTTTGCCTACGGTTTACCGGGCAGTTCTGTTTGACGATATTATGTATCTATATATAGCGTCATAGAGAGCTGCCCAGTGAACCGTAGACAAAGAGGGAGAAGAGGATGACTTATACCCATATATGTATATATATAGTATACATTATACATATGTATATGTTATATATCGTCATAGAGAGCTGCCCAGTGAACCGTAGACAAAGAGGGAGGAGAGGATGACTTATATATCCATATATATCTCCATCTTTTCTTTGTTTAGCTCTAATCCGAGCTTACTTAGGAAGGTGGATATAAGATCACCTTTTTTTTTTTTTTTTTTTTAATACACTTATCTCAATCGCGTTAGTCTTAGGGCCGGTCTGACTTCCAGTAAAAAATCAGTCGACTGGAAACAGAGCTGCCCGGTAATATGTATCTATATATACCTTCGTTTGTTGTCCTCTTCTCCCTCTCTGCCTACGGTTTACCGGGCAGCTCTGTTTGAGAATATATGTACTGTTAATATAATGTACATATATTCACAGGGAACTGAGAGAAGTGAATAAAGATTTATTTTTCCCTGCCTTCCTCTCCTCCTCTTTTTTTTTTTTTTTTTTTTTTTTTTGACATCCTCGTTTGTTCTCACTGAGTATTTTCTCCCGTTTGTTATTTTCTTTGAGAAAGAACAGGGTGATGACTACGGATGATGATGGTAATGGTGGATGACGATGGTGATGCTGCTGCTGCTGCTGCTGCTGCTGCTGCTGCTGCTGATGATGATGATGATGATGATGATGATGATGATGATGATGATGACGATTATGATGATGATGATAATGGTGATTGTTCGAGAATATAAAGGTGAAAAAAAAAACAAAATCACAAAATGAGGGAAAGACAGAAACTACCAGAGACGACAGGAACAAATCGGAAAATGCCAAAAAAAAGAACCGAAAAGAGAACGTAAAGGAAAACAGTGAGCGAGCTGTTTGTGCACATGCATTCACCAATATATTCTCTACTGAGTCTACTGTATTATACATTTTTACATGGCTTAACTTTTAAGTTTTAACTTTTAACTTTTAGTATTATTATTATAATTTTCACATAGTAAGACAATGACTAGAAATCGTTTTTTTTTTTGAATTATAAATGACATGCAATTTTTTTTAATTATAAATGACATGTAATGTTATACATTGTGGGTGTAAATTACTGTATATCGTCAAAGAGAACTCCTTGGTAAACCGTAGGCAGAGAGGGAGAAGAAGATTATATGAACATATATGAGAATATCTATCTATATATTATTAATCTATTTTATATATAGTATATATGTTTATTTATGTTTATACCGGGCAGTTCTGTTTGACGAGACATATAACTCCGACGAAACAGTATTTGTCGTCAACAATATATGTTTATATTTTATATATAAATATTTATATTTATGTATATACTGGGCATTTCTTTCTTTCTTTCTTTCTTTCTTTTTTTTTTTTTTTTTTTGAATAAATTTAAACTTTGAATTATCAAATGAAAGGAGGCGGGGAATCCCTCACAAACAACCCGGAGTTTCTGGAGGCCATACCCAGCTTAGGCATACCGGGCATTTCTGTTTGACGATACATCATACATGTACGTCCGACCAAACAGTGTATAATATATATATCGTCGAACAGAACTGCGTTCGGTAAACCGTAGGCAGAGAGGGGTAGAAGAGGACAACAAACGAGCCCGATATATACATACATATACATGGTACATACATATATTCTGTATATATATATCGTCACAAATAGAACTGCCCGGTAAACCGTAGGCAGAGAGAGAGAAGAGGACAACAAACGAGGGATATATTCTGTGACGATATAGTTGTAAGGTAGAAGATAAAAAATGAATTGATATCTTTCTTGTTTCCTTTTGTTTTTTTCGTTTTTGCGCTCTGATATCTTTGTGACGATATATATATATATATATATAGAGCTGCCCGGTAAACCGTAGGCAGAGATATAAATAAATAAATAAATAAATAACCAACTAACTAACTAACTAACTAACTAAATAAATAAATAAGTAAATAAATGTATAGATCTGCCTCAGAGAGGGAGAAGAGGACAACAAACGAGCAGCTGTGACAGACTGTTTCACAGAGGGAGAAGAGTTTTCACGGTCTCATCACGAGGGTGGAATACATTATTATGGCCATAAATTACTATATATTTTGTACTTCTTTTTTTTTTTTTTGTGAATTGAACACTAGCAAGAGGTGGCCCACTGTTCCCCCCTCCTCCTCCCCCCCAACCCACTGTTTTCACTATTCACTATTCACTATTCACTATTCATCTTCTTCTTCTTGTTTTTCTTGCCCCTTCTTTCTACCTGGTGCGAGGTACTTCCTTCCTTCCTTTTCCCAACTCTCATCATCTTCCAGGTGGCTCCCCCTTCTTTCTTTCTCTGCCTAAAGTAGTTGAAAATGATGAGGGTCACTTAAAATAGACATCGCTCTGACGAGCAGTCGAGACAACCAGGATGGCAAACTCCTTTTTTTTTTTTTTTTTTTTTCCCTTTCCCCTTTACAGCAGCCAATATTTCTCATTGGTTGGTTTCCTTGACCCCACCTTTTTGGCGCTCCTCATCAATGGGAATCATCATCATCATCATCATCATCATATTCCTTTTTTATTTATTACTGTCATACTCATCGTCATCATACTCGTCATCATCATCATCATTATCATTATCATTATCAGTATCATTATCAGTATCATTATCGTCATCACCCTCATCATTATTGTCATCCTAGTCATCACCTCTGATCATAATCATCACTGTCATCATTGTCATCCCAGTCATCACCTCGGATTATAACCATCACCCTCATCATCCTCATCATCATTATCGCCCTACTCTTTTTTTTTTTTTTTTTTTTCATTTCAATTATCACCGTCATCATCGTCATCTTTTTTTTTCCCCCTTTTAGTCATCATTGTCTTTTTTTTTTTTTGGATAATGCGGAAGTGTAGTGTTTGTTCTGTGATAGCATGTACCAAGAGCACGCCTGGTCATTATGGCTGCATGCATGTGGACTGAAAGTTGCACCAAATACAGCTATAAGAACTCGGCGTTTTATTCGGGCTGCATGTGGACTGAAAGTTGCACCAAATACAGCTATAATGACAGGGCGTTTTATTCGGGTTGGCTCCCGAGGTACCCGTACAA